CTATTAGTACGAAGGCTGCACCTGGTATGTTATTAGAAACTTAGTTAAACAGAATTTTTTTAATATTTATTACATATGTACACTAACTTTTAATTTATATTTTTACATTTTAGACTATTCTTCAATTAATGTCTGGTATCAAAAGATTCGGCTTGGTCAATTAAAATTGAAAACTTTTATAAAAACGCTTGCGAAAAAAACCAGAATTAACTGTGAAGAATGTAAGATTACTAATCAAGCAGGTCGCAAGACCCTTGTACAACTAGTGATTGGACCCGTCCAACCCGGGTGACCTGTTGGACTGATCCGGTAGACTGACAGGTATTTCCAGCCAATCACTGATGCTTGTTTACATCGGGTAAAATAGGATTGACACATCCTATTTTATCCAATGTAAACAAACATTAGTGATTGGCTGGAAATACCTGTCAGTCTACCGGATCAGTCCAACAGGTCACCTGGGTTGAACAGGTCCAATCACTATGTACAACGATTAAAGGACATTGGTACGACTGACTATGAAGTATCAACGATCACATGGCATCGATCTTTATCTGGAATTGCTCGTTATGAAAGACCAAAAGATGGTGTTCAACAATTTGCCTTAAATAATTTAATAGCTTCGATAGATTCTTCTGAAACTATAACTGCTACATCTAGTAAGTAATAAAAGATAATACTATAATAAATAAATATAAATAAAAAAATTTTTTTTTATTTTTTTATTTTTATTTTTTTTATACAGATACCCAACTTTCTCTTCCTGCCAATACACTTTCTACTAATAACTTGTACCAAAGATTTAAATCTGCAAGACAAATTTATCAAGGCAAGTTTTTTTATTAAAATAATTTTTTTTTAGTTTCACAATTCTAATTCTAATTCATTTCTATTATTGTGTTAAACATGCTTTCTAATCTACCAAAGCAAAAACTCCAAGTACCAACATCACAATTAACAAACTTATCAGCATTATCGAGCACGAAAGTTTCAGAATCAACATTACAATTAACAGACCCTCCAATATTATCAAACCTCGAAGCCTTAGCACCAACAACACAAATAGCAAACCACCCAGCATTATCAAACCAAGAAGCTCCAACACTAACACTATTAGCAAACTCAAGTTTGAGATATCTATTGCAACCAATATCCAATAATTATGTTAAAACCCAAGAATTGCAAGAAATAGTCAAAATTCAGGAATCTCAAAAAGAATTTTTTCAGAGAAATTTATTTACGAATTCAAACATTACATTTCACATATATAACCATTATTATGCATCACAAAAATAAGTATTTTTAATATTACTTTTAATAAATATTGAGATATTTCATATTTGCTTTGTAGTGATAAAAAAATATGCATGTTAGTAAAAAATATAAGTTGTAATGATGTAGTCTATACGAATATGAAAATTTTTAGTATAGTCGTCAATTACTTGGCTACACAATAATTTAATATATTATATAAATATATATTTATAAATAGTAACACTATATCTAGATTAGATTAAGAGTAAAATACAAAAATTATAACTAAAGAGTTTAAATAAATAGCTTTTTAGTTAAGCTATAGATATAGTAGCTAGAACATAGATGCAGCCACCACCTTATTAAAAGACACACCCATTGTATTTAATAAAGAAAAT